GACTAATCAAAAAAATAAAAGATCGTTAATCAAAACAAGAATTAAAATTTAACCTTAAAATTCAAAGTCATAAGACAAGGGTTTAAAATTATGAACCACAAACATAACCTCAAAATTAGGTAAAATTCTCGATTAAAAAGTACCCGTGCAGAAATTTTGACCGGGCCCTGGCCAGGGCCAGACCGGGCAAGACCGGGGCCACTTCGGGAAATCTGGCCTGCCCCCGGCCTGGATGAAACAATAAAACCGACCGGGGCCATGGCTCGGGGGCCGATCTGGTTCCCTGCTGGGGACCCGACCAGGGCCATCAAATTTTTCCCGATTTGACCACCATTCAAATGTTTGTGGTATGGTAAACCATACAGTAGTCATCTGCCTAACAATTTAGAGTGGATATTGTTAAAATTTTTGAACAATATGTAGATTTTGTTTAGAAATATGGTAAATTAGTAATCTACAATTTTCTCAAAAATTTTAGCAATAATCACTCCAAATTAATACGTGTCTTATTATACTGTATTCCCTAATGTATCATTAATAAAATAAAAACAATAATATTAAGTTTATTTAAGTTTTATTTAAATTGCATAAAATATCAAAGATTTACATATTTATAAATTAATCGATAAAACAAAACAATAATTTTTTTTTTACGACAATGACCATCCCTATCCTTGGGTGACTTTTACAAAAATAAACTGTTAATTTATAATAATAATAATAATTTTTAAAAATTTTATTACAGTAAACAACACTTAAAATTGTATTATAATTTAATTTCGTAATATGTTTACAATATTTTGGATCTAACAATAAGTGAAAATAATTTATGTTCAACTTTTTTGAATCCACAAAAAGTCAAGAAATACAGTTGAATTCCAACAGGTTCAACTGTAGAACAATTTAAACCGTATATTTATAACTTTTAAACGGCAATAGTTGAAAATTATTAACTTATACTGTTAGAATAAGTTGCAAGTCGCGGTAGCCTTCTGCGCAGACTAACTGTTGACTTACCATCTGGCGGTAATTTAGAATAAAATATTAACACTGATTCTATACGTACGTATATGCTTCGGTAAAATAAATATCTGCTTTTTTATTATCACCTGTTCGTAATATGCGCAGGAGGCTACTGCGTCTTGCAACTTATCCTCCCATTTCAGAAAACCAAATTGTCACGTACCCCCACTACCTAACGTGTACTTCCTGTTTCTATAGCCTTCTTGAGTTCTGCACTCCTCTATAAAAATTTATTTTTACTTATCTTATTATTGGGGCAACCCGGCCTGGCCACGACCGGGGCCACTAACATTTACTGACCCGGGGCCGGACCAGATAATCTGGCCGGGGCCAGGTCGGAAATCGGGAAGAAGGGTGGAAATTTCTGCACGGGTAGTAGTATAAATTAGGCATTACCTGCCTAAGAGTACGCAAATGACTTTTCGTCAAAAATATTAAATTTATGAAAATAATAAAATAAGATTTATACTTTTAACATAGAATATCCATTCTACAGATTTAGATAATTTTTATCAAATAAAAAAATATTGATTTTCTTATTTTTCATAAAAATTTTTAAACAAAATTTTTAAGCAAAAAAAAAATGTTTGATAAGAATTTCACACACCATACATATATACTACACGGAAAGAAATTTTCTGTAGAATTTACAGAAACTCCTGCGCCATCTACTGATGTTTCTCCAAATAGAGAAATATGTAGAATCATTGGCATTAAAATCTGTTAATTCTATAAGTTTCAGCTACAGTTCTTAAAAACTGTTAAGTGACCAAATTATGTATACTATATGGGGATAATATATATTTGGTAGAGTATTTCTTATAGGTTATATTCTCCTCCGAATACATTAAACTCGCGGAACATTATTGTATAAATTAGTATAACTTCTATGTAAATAAATTCATCCTTCAATAATTTTCTAACAAAAAAAAATGAGGAGCAAGTTTTCAAAACTTATGATAAATCCACTTTTTCTTATGTCGAGAAATTGAAACAAACGACTTTTCTCACTTAATCACTACAGTTAATTTTAAAATAAAAAATTTCTAATAATTTATTTCTATAATAATGTTTATATACTTAAGACGTTTCCTCTTTAATTAAACTTTCTTGCCGACACTATGATAATAATAAAAACACTAAATTCGCCTTAACCTCTCGCACTCAATCGTATACTCAGCCTTAGTCGAATCACTGCATTGTTTTCGCGCATGCGTTAAATCCTTACAGAAAATATCTGTAGAATTAACAGATTTAGGAACATGTAAAATCTTCAAATCGATGTTAAAGAATTACCAGAAAATTTTTTTCCGTGTATATAGTTAAAGACATGTTTTAAATTTTTTGATATTAAATCTAAATCTGCAATATGAATTTACTGATTATATATTATAGCGCTTACCGAAAGGTGTTTGATATGAGCATAGAACGTGTTCATAGTTCAATTACTTGGATTATAAGGTGATAGATTAGCTCTATATCGTATAGATTTTAGTACCAAAAATACACATGCAAACATAATTTTAATCAAAAAGTTCCCTTAATTAAAAATTGTATACAACATTATTGTCAATTGCATTTCAAATTTAAAGATCATAGTATAAATCGACGCCTCCCGTTGATAAGATGCCCGTTCATTTGTCAGAATAATAAAATGCCAACTCGAGCTCAGTTCAATATGAAGCTAGTTCAATTGTCAAAATAATAAAAGGCTATCTCAGTTTCAGAATAATATAATCCTATCTCGCATTAAATTCGAATTCAAGTTTTCGTAAATTAAAAAAAAAGTTTAAGTCGATCAGAATATTAATTCATACTTTTTAATGATTAATTAGTGATTAATAATTATTAATAAAATAAGAAATAGAATAAAAAACAAATAATAAAATAAATGAAAATAAAAAATATTATTAAAAAAGAAAAAAATTAATTTAGCCTTGAATTATTTATTACTAATATTATTTTTTTTATTATAATTTTTTTATTAATTTTTTTATTTTGTTAATCATTAATTAATCATTACAAACTATTAAATAATATTCCGATCGAGTTAAAAATATTCAAGTTTTCGTAAAATAAAAAATTTTTAACTCGATCGGAATATTATTTAATATTTTGTAATGATTAATTAATGATTAACAAAATAAAAAAATTAATAAAAAAATTATAATAAAAAAAATAATATTAGTAATAAATAATTCAAGGCTAAATTAATTTTTTTCTTTTTTAATAATATTTTTTATTTTCATTTACTTTATTATTTGTTTTTTATTCTATTTCTTATTTTATTAATAATTATTAATCACTAATTAATCATTAAAAAGTATGAATTAATATTCTGATCGACTTAAACTTTTTTTTTAATTTACGAAAACTTGAATTCGAATTTAACGCGAGATAGGATTATATTATTCTGAAACTGAGACAGCCTTTTATTATTTTGACAATTGAACTAGCTTCATATTGAACTGAGCTCGAGTTGGCATTTTATTATTCTGACAAATGAACGGGCATCTTATCAACGGGAGGCGTCGAAATATATTATAGTAAATAATTGAATCTCAGTACTAATAACACCGTCCGACAAAATTCAACTTTTTTTTTGACCCACAAAAAAATCCAACATTTTTGGAAACTAGGACCCAAAAAAAAATACCCGTGTCTGACCGTTTTGCTAGATCAAGTCATTTGTGGTTTTTAGGGGTGAAAACAGCCCCTAAATAAAAAGTGACAAAAGATATCTTTTAAAAATTATTAATATTTTATAAAACTTAGTATCTGGGGGGTTTCAAGGTCGCTGATTATTAATCTGATGTCAGATTTTCAAAATTCAAAATGGCGGATTCAATATGGCGGTCAAAATTTTAAAAAGTTATTAAATTTTTTTAAACCTTGATATCTAGGGGTTTTTTTGGGTCGCTGATGACGAATCTGATGTTGAATTGTCAAAATTCAAAATGGCGGATATAAAATTAAAAATTAAAAACTTTTTAAAAATTTGATCGCCATATTGGATCCGCCATTTTGAATTTTGAAAATCTCACATCAGATTAGTAATCAGCGACCCTGCGAAAATCCCCAAATATCAAGTTTTATAAAATATTAATATTTTTTAAAAGATATCTTGTCACTTTTCATTTAGGGGTTGTTTTCACCCCTAAAAACCACAAACGACTTGATCCAGCAAAACGGCCAGATACGCGTATTTTTTTTGGGTCCTAGTATCCGAAAATGTTAAATTTTTTTGTGGGTCAAAAATTGTGTCGGACGGTGTAATATTAAAGACATATTACTAAAAAATAAATAAAAATCTTATTTATATAAAAACATAAAGACAAAAATTAAGGAGGAATGGTATACATGGTTAACAATGTTCAGAATTTCTTGCAATTTTGGAAAATGACTTACTTTTAAATTTGGAAAGTTCACCAAACTCACACACAAAAAAATGCCAGTGTAATTTTACTACGTCGGACGTTGGAAAAAAGTAACCACGCGTCGGACACAGTAAAAAAATACCTAAAAGTTATTTTTTATATTTTACTTTACTTTTACAAAAAAAATGTTAATTTAATAAAATTAAGCAGCTTTTATTTAAACAATACTCATATACTTTTTAAAAATAATTAATGTTTAATGTAATTAATTAACTTTTAATATTAAAATTGCTATATGTAATATAATAACAGCTGCGACTTTGTGCTTCCTGCATGCTTCTGCCATCTGACGGCGGCAGGACGTAATGAACCTGTTATTATATTACTTTCCTACTTTTCGTTTTGCAATCGCGTTTTTGTAATAATTAATGTGAGCTTTTGTAATTTTTTTTTAATATTAAAATTTATATATATTTATCTTAAATTAAAAATTTCTTCAAATGCCACAATTTTTTTTTTTTGCTAGATCACGTATACCATTTCTCTTTAAATAAAAATCAACTTTTATATGAGATTAAAAGAACGACAAGGTAAACTTACATATAATTGCAATTCCTTATATTGAATGACTGTTCAAAAACCAAAGACACATTATTTTCCAACTGAATTGAATTTATATCCTTCTCTTTTGCGCTCATCGTCCTAGAAACTTGCTGACATCTTTCAAGGTCACCAGTACAACACACACGAGAGAGTTCATCCCCTTCAAAATTTAGTGTGATTTTATCGGACGCTATTCACAGTAAATTAAATTTATCGTTTTATTAAAGTTACATTAAGACCTATTCTAGTGAATTAATTTAAATAAATTTAGTTTTAGATTCAAAAACAAAATTAAATGAAACATTGTCTATAATATTACTTGTATAATATTATTGTCTATGTTGAATTGCAAAAACAAAGTAAAATTTATTTCGGTTAATTCTACAGTAGAAGGAACAATTTTTTTTTCAAAAATATGTACACATACACATTTTTCTAAAAAGCTATTTTAATTTATAATTTGTAGAATGTAGAATATAATTTTTAACAAAATTCAAGTGAATTTCTGTTATGAAAATCTTAAGGAATAAGAAAAAATTGTTGTATGATTTTTAAGTCTGTTTTTTTTCAAATGCGAGACAAAATACTGAAATAAATAAATAAAAGACATAAAAACCAAGCAAATTTCATCAATTTATAAGAAAATTTTTAAGTTCGCCCGCCATATTACAAATTTTTTTCAAGTTTTTTTATACCTTAATACAGTAATATACTTAAGGAAACTTTTTTCTTAAAACTTTCGTAGAAACTATGCTGTCCCCATTTACCCCAAATTTTAGAAAATTTTCTAAATCTTGGGGTAAATGGGGACAGTTAGTTTTATGCGTTTAAAGCTTATCTAAATTTTTTTCTGATGCATAAAATTAATCCTGGGAATGTAAATAACAACTTTAAAAAAAAACCCGTAAATATTACCTTTTAAGGAGGTTCAACCCATTAACATAACCACAAACTAAAAAGTAGTTTAACAGAACTAAAAATATATTTAAAATTTATTACACCCAAATTCGATAAATCCAATTGTACAATTTTGAAAAAAAATTATTTTCAATTAAAATTTGTTGTTAAATAATAATTAATAAACATTTTGTATTGTTTCTTAAAAGTTAGTGGACAATTGTAATTTTTATGCAATTCTTAAAAACAGTAGCTCATTTTGCTCTTTGAAAGATTTTCTACAATTCTGTTTGTTGAATTTTATTAAAAATATTTTGTCCTAAAGTTAATAAACAAATAAAATTTTTATTTTTTTTCTAAGAAAAATTTAAAGCTCACATATCTATTTTCCCACCGGGTAAGAAACCACTTCATTTTGCATCTATAAACCATCCATTAAATCTTCATTAACCGTTCCTGTTATCTCATTATTTCAGATGCACTTTTTTATAATTTTCTTCAATTTTATAATATTGGATCACGCATATTTCAAAATAATTTTAAAAACAAATTCAGATTTTCTCTAGAAATTTATATTATTATTTTTCAGTTGTTGGTTTTTTTAAGTGAATGAATGACACAAAAATCTTTAAATTACGACATAAAGTTTTAGAGAAAAAATTTTGAAATTGGTACAGGTCAATATATCTAAAATGCCGCACTCTTCCGATTAACCCTTTGACAGTGGATGGCTCATATATGTCCAAAAAAAAGTCGTGCCATATTTGTGATTTTGGACATATATGTCCACATTAGAAAAAAAATACTAAAACATAATTCGATTTGAGTGTCAATAGATATACTAAGGTTTTCGGGGTAGCTGAATCCGAATTTGAGGTCAGATTTAAAAAATTCAAAATGTCGGACCCAATATGGCGAAAAAATTTAAAAATTGATTCGATTCGTTCAAAATTCAGTACTCGGGGGTTTTTGGAGTCGATGAATACAAAGAGGTCAGATTTAAAAAATTCAAAATGGTGAACCTAATATGGTAGAAAATTTTAAAATTGATTCGATTCGTTCCAAATTCGGTACTCGGGGGTTTTCGGGGTCGCGAATCCAAATTTGAGGTCAGATTTAAAAAATTAAAAACGGCGGACCCAATATGTCGGAAAAATTTAAAATAGATTCGATTCGTTCAAAATTTGGTTTTCGAGGGTTTTTGGGATCGCTGAATACAAATTTGGATTTTGAACCGAATTTTCAACGATTCGAAACAATTTTAAATTTTTCCGCCATATTGGGTGGCCATATTGGGTCCGCCATTTTGAATTTTCAAAGTCTGACATCAAATTTAGATTCAGTGACCAAAAAAACCCCCGAGTACCAAATTTTGACCGAATCGAATCAACTTAAAATTTTTCCGCCATTTTGAATTTATTAAATCTGACCTTAAATTTGGATTCAGCGACTCCAAAAACTTTTAATACGATGATATATTTTTTTGGTAACTTTTTTTTTGACCAGTTGGGCCCATAAATGATTTTTCTACTAGACTGCGAAGGGGTTAAGACGTTGTCACGTCAAAACTTTATGTACCATCTTTTTTTTTTTGCATTTTAATATTAAAATATGTGAAAATTTTTCTATTAAAATTTATATTGCTGACGTTATTTAATATTATCAGTGTCACTTTTGATATATACATCAATTTAGTGCTGGGGAACTTGATTTGTTATTACCGGTGGCGTATATTCTACTTCCACCAAAAGAAAAGTTCAAAAGAACTTCATATATGAATTTTAAATCTTATAATATAGCAAAAGCCAAAAGTAAAAGGAAATTGAGAAAGATAGATTCGTTTCAAGCAAACACAAAATCAGATCAATATAAAAGTCTTGGAATAAAAATATGTTGAAATTATTCCTATAATAAAAATTCTCAAATAGAAAGAATGAAATTAAAAAATGCGACAAAGAAATTACAATATATATATATATATATATATATATATATCTATATTTTTCTAACTCAGTGCGGGTTAAAATATTGTTTTTATTATTATAAAAAAAAAAATTCAGAGTTAAAAAAATAATTATTCTGTATTACATTTTTAGGGTTCCGTACACGGTTCGGAACCATATAAATATCGGTTTGGCAGAAAATCGTATATACCTCCCCTCTCTAGCGATCACACGAATTTATTTGGAGAGCTGAAATTCGGTACACATATGTATTTTCGTGAGTTGATAAGCAAATTTAAAAAAGTACCCACGGTGCGCCAGAAGGTGGTTTAAATAAAAATGAATTGGCACTTAAAAATTCTTTTTGATTATAATTCTTAGATGAGTAACAAACATTTCTCAATAGTTTTTAAAATCAGTTTACGTGCCCGATTTAAATAAAATTGAGTTTTTATATAAAAACAGTGTTTTATGGAGAATCAGAATTTATTTAATCTAATAAATACTGTAATAAATGATAAAATAATTACTTATTTTCAATTTTACATATAAATAATTATATTGCTGTAGTGTTTGTGTCCGATTTAAAAAAATTAAATTATAATGTTAAAAGAACGATTTTAAGAGTGACAAAATTTATTTAAGAGAGTCGAATGATCTCTGAAATTTTTTGGCAAGAAGAGACCTTTAATTATCGTTCTATAAAAACGGCACTAAACGTGAAAATGATAAACATTGATTTTAAAATACTTTCTTCTCGAAAGGCGGACACTTTTTACAAAAGCAGCTAGAGATCCTTATCTTATATAAATTTCCTAAATCCTAAAGATTATACGAATTCATACAAAAACACGATTGCAAAACGAAAAGTAATATAATGAGGGGTTCATTACCTCCTGCCGCCGTCAGATGGCAGCAGCATGCAGGGCGCACAAAGTCACAGCTGTTATTAGATTACTTTTTTACTTTTTGTTTTGCAACCATGTTTTTCTATGGATTCGTACAGTCTTTTGGATTTAGGAAATTTATAAGATGAGGATTTTGGCTGATTTTGTTAAAAGTGTTCGTGTTTCGAGAAAAAAGTATTTTAAAATCAATACCATTTCACGTTCAGAGCGATAATTAAAGCTCTCTTCTTGCCAAAGAATTTCAGATACCGTTCGACACTCTTAATGCATAAATATAAAAACGAAACAAGAAAATAACTTCATTGTTTATAAATTTATATGAACCCAAATCTAAAACATCTATTATCTATACGCATATAAGTATACATTAAATAAATTCTGGTTCCTCATAAAATACTATTTTTAAATATTTAAAACTCAATTTGTTTTAAATTGGGCACGTAAGCTGATTTTAAAACCTATTGAGAAAAGTTTTTTATTCATCTTAGAACCATAATCAAAAAGAATTTCTTCCATCTTAAAATGTAAGTTACTTTGGCAAGTTTATTTAAGCAACTTAAATTTAGATATTTGTTGAGTGATAAGATGTTTAAAAAAAAGATGCTTGTTAATTCTAAGAGACGTCGGTATTTTAAGTTACTAAAATATAAAATACATTAAGTATCTTACATAAGAGCCCATAGTTAACCTCAAAATTTTTTTTCATCAAAAATATGTGAAGAACTTTGGCAAAGATATTATTAACATCTTAAACTAAGATATTTCAAATAACTAAAAAGTGACTACCAAAACATCTTAAAAATGACTACAAATACTTATTTGCATTTAATTTGGTTCTATTTTAATAAAATTGCCAAATTCTCGACTTTTTTTTCCATATTATGTTAATATATGGGACATTCTACGTAAAGCGGACAACCCCGATCTTTGTTTGTTATTCCATACATTACTTTTATATATTATAATTTTATTAAAAATTTATTAAATGAAGGAAAATAGATGTGAATTTTATAACAAATTTAATATCGTTTGACATCATAGTATTAAATTTGGTAGATTATAATTTTAACTTTAAAAATTGAAAAACAAATTTCAAATAAATTTTAAAATACTTTGACATCTATTTTCATTCGTTTAATGGATTTTCAATAAAATTGTATTATTTAAAAGTAATATTTGATAAACAAACCAAAATCGAACTTGTCCGCTTCACATAGAATGCCCCCCGTATATTATATAAAATTTTATTTGATATGGAAAATACTTTTCTTTATTAAAATTATCATGAGTGTAAGTGTACTTATACAAAATAAAAAAATAAACGCAAAGGATTTGCAGTTAGGTGTGCGTAGCTTTTGTCTTATCCCATCATGCTGTCAAATACATGATTCATTATATTTCGCAAATCAATCCAGTGATTACCAGATGACAAATTATATAACGTTCATCGCATGTAACAATCAGAGCTTACATTGTCAAGTAAAACTTTACGGATTCTAAAAATTTATATACATATCGGAAAAAACCTCAGCTTTCATTTGCAATTTTTTATTTTAAAAAAAGTACCGATTTTAGTGAAAATAGCAAATTTATGTTTAATTATAGAAAATCAAGGTCAAAATTCAAAAATTTTAAAAAACGAAATTCACCATTGGAAAAAGCATGAAAATGAAAAATATTTATATAGTAATCGTTTCATAGTAATTTTTGGGTTATGTCGTTCTTTTTTGTTAATAAACGTTATTTTTCGAATTGTGTCTGTAATTTTAATGTAATACCGTTGTTTAAAAACGAACCCTGATCCGGCGAGCTAATCCGACACTTATTTTATCATTACATTTATTACAGCAGAAATTCAAATAGTAGGCGGTGTCAGGGAAAACTGATAAAATTGACCCCCCCCCTCTATCTCCCCCAAAATTTCGAAAAAGTCAAAAATTTTGTTGGAGATATTTTACTATCAGGTAGGACAACAATTTCCCCAAGTTTCACTTTTTTTCGAGAAATCAATTTTTTAACTCAGGATATTACACGTAAAATGCCTCACATTAATTATTATTTGGTTATGTATTCAAAGAGAATTAAACTTCCATTAGAGGGAAAAATCAAACGCAGAAATAAAGCAAATAATGAAATTATAACAAATTAATCGAAAAAAAAATATTATTTGTTTGATAGAGAAAATTTGTTTACAAAAATTTGTACTATTTATCGTGAATTAATATATTTTTAAAAATATTTTTATGAATTAAAAAAAAAAATTGTCTTTTAACAAATAAATTTTTTTTCTAATTGTAAAGTTTATTTTTAAAAAATTCAAAATTTCTTTCTAATTGTAAATTTTTTGTTTTTTATTGCAGTGTAACGAACTACTTTGTGGTGAATTTGTCGATAGCTGATCTTTTAGTAACATGCATCTGCATGCCAGTGGCTATAAGTCAAGCAGTTTCAATTTTATGGAACTTCGGAGAAATCATGTGCAAACTCTCTTTCTATCTCCAAGGTAAGCTTTATACATGTATATATATATATATATATATATATATACATTGAATCATAAATCATGACAAGCATATGAAAAGATTCGTATTTTAAATTTTTTCAATCATTTTTATATTTCTAGATCAAATCCTTTTTTACGTATAGCATAAAAAATGTTTTTATAAATTTTTTCCATTAAAAATTATCATTCTAATTTTTTTTCTTACATATGAGGAATTTACGCCATTATAATATATGTTGGAATTTACTATTTTTAATTTGACTACATTTTTTTTATCTTTTCGTACTCTACGAAAAGGAGTTCCATGATTTTTTTGAATTTTTTTACTAAACAATTTAGAAAATAGGGTAAATGCACTAATTACGGCGCGATTCGAGTAAAAACACCTTTGAAATAGAAAATTCGACATTTCTATTGTGTAAAGTCAATTTAAGACTTATTAAACTAAAAGATTATGTTATTTAGAAATTAATAAAAATTTAATAGTTTATAAAAATCGATTATTTAAACAAATATGAGAAATTAAAACTAATACCGTAAATTTCTATTACGGCGCATTTGTATCAGTTTCAGTGTATCAATTACGGTTACCAAAATTACGTGTATTTTAAAGATACTCTCTAAATCTGAATTAGTAAAAATGTTTACTAATTTGAATTAGTGACTCACTTTTTGCTTCTGAATTAGTAAGATTTTACTAATTATTAGTAACTATTACTAACAATTAGTAAAATTTAACTAATTCTAAAACAAAAAGTGAGTCACTAATTTCAATTAGTAAACATTTTTACTAATTCAGATTTAGAGAGATTTGGAGCCAATGGAAATCTTAAAAATGTTTCAATTACGGCGAGGGAAAAAATATGATCTCAAATAATTAAATTAATAATTATTTAAATCTGCATCTTTATTAGTAATTGTATTAAAAAAACATTAAAATAATTTTTTTAAATCATTTTGCAACAATTATATTAAATATAATAGTAATAATAGATATATTTTTTATGAAAGCGCCGTAATTGATGCACTCGCCGTTATTGATACACTTACCCTATGGATTTTTAAAAAATTTCAAATTTTTGAAAATTTTTTTTATATAATGGAAACTTTTTTAAAAATTTATTAATTTTATTTTTTTTTGTTTGAAAATTTGATTTTATGTAAACATTTTGAAATTCAAATAATTTTTTTTTTTTTTTTTTGATTGAAAGAAATGATTCACTTGTCTATTATCCATTAAATATGTATTTGAACCAAATAAATATTTACTAAACCTAAATATATTATTTTATCGTATCCTACATCAAATCTAAGAGTTAAATTAAAATTCGTACCCTACGGTGATCGAACCCTCGGCGCACTATCTTATCTAATACCTAACCTAAGACAGCTTTAACGATCACGGCTATCAAAACTACTTGATTATACTTTTATTCGACTGTCTATATATAGAATCTTCCAATTCATTTTGAATCAATAAAATAAAATTATTGTGTTACATAATTTTTAATTACATCAAATAATTAAATGTTTCAGTGTGAAATAATATTTATATTTAAATAAACTTATTAAATTTTGTTTCAAAAAAATATTTATTAAATTTAATTAATTATTTATTTGATCCATGATTTTTTCGAATTCTTTTCAGACAAAAATCTATTGTTAAAAAAAAAAAATTTTTCGTTGTGTTTGAAAAAATAAATTTAGATAAATTAAAAGGGTCCAATTCGTTGATATGTTGAAATCCATATATATATTCTGATTCTCGAATCATATTGATAAAATGTAAAAGGGTGAAAAAAAATTACACGTTTATATTTTCTGATCAGTCGAAGAAAATGTTTTTCTTCCTACAGATTTTCACACATACATACATACAATCTCATTTCAATCCGAGGACAGCATAAACATTTGTATTCATTTTTTCCTCATTTCGTGCGATCATGTTTTTCTTCTTCTTTTATCCACAAATACGAATGGAAACATCAATTCATTATTATTTTTTTCTAATTTACAAAAAAATAAATAAATAACAAAACAAAAATAACCCAAGGCTAAAATTCTAACCTTGTTTCCGATTTTTTATCACACATTCTGTATCATTTGTGGTTGTTGTGCAAAAAGGGGAGCGTTCCTAGCTAAATATACAGTAAGTTAAGGGAAGGGAAGTGATAACGGATCATGAGTCATGCATAAAACATAAAGCACAATTCCCATCGGTATCTTAAATAAAATAACCTGTGACCTCTCGATGCAGCTTCCGTGTTAATTTAGTTTCATGTACTTTATTTCTAAGTACAAATAAATACTATATATTGCGGTGATTCTCCGCGTAGCGTAAAATTTTGTTATTGTTATTAAAAAATTTTTTTTTTTACAATTTAACAAAAATTAAATTTTACATACTCTTTAGGCTTAGTGCTCAAGAATAAAATATCCGTGGTGGTGAACAGGACAAAATATTCATAATTTTATTCCCACTTAATGACACTGAAAAAGGCTTCACGATCACGTACTACTAATACTGATTTTTTTTGAATCAATATATCAACGATTTTCAATCTGTTTCGTATTTACGGTATCCCGTGTAGAAATCACCAACGTATGCCTAAAATGATTGTTGGACCAATATTGATCCTACCTTGGCAGCTCCTGTTTATATATTCTACACTGGTCGTAACTTGGACTTAGCTAGAACATCTAGTTAAGTGTTAGAAAATTTTTTATGAAAAAAAGTGATTGAATTTAGGATTTGTAAAATATTCTCAGATAATACTTATTTAATTAATTGATAATTATTTTTATCGTTTTAATTATTTATTAATTTTCAATAAATATTGTGAGGAACGTATCGTCAAATAATTTATTTAAAGTTTATTTTGTTTATAATAAGGAAAACATTTATTTATTTATTTTACCCTGCCGGTCGTCCCCACTCCACCAAAAACATATAGGTCCCGAGCGCCGGTTGAGATCCTCACTTCTCGAAGCGGTCTCACCGCAGCTGGACGCAGCAAGTGGTCTTACCACGGCGAAGAGGTCTTACCTCAAATAGTATCACTATATGCCCAAAACGTAAAAGTGGTTTTTCCACGCACGAAGAGGTTTAACCTCAAATAGTATCACTATATGCCCAAAACGTAAAAGTGGGTTTTCTACGCACGAAGAGGTTTAACCTCAAAACGAAAGCAGTCTTACTGCATAAAGTGGTTATACCACAAGTGGTTTTACCATACATGTTCCAAAAGCGACTTCTTCCCTCGTAACGATTGTAATGAAAGTTTAAAAATTATCGACCGAATATCGTAAATTATCTAAAGATGATAATTTACATTATTGACGGATCACATACGCCACGTAGTACACGTTCACGACCACGTGAGTCCCGAGACTCTCGGTAGTGGGGAAGGCGAGCGAGCGCGCAAGCCCAACGCGCCAGCCAATCACGGATCACTGGCTCCGGCGTAAAAGCAGAGCGCGCGGCCCGAGTTCTTCACTTCTTCCTCCATTGCGAAAGCGGTCTTACCGCTAAAGAAAGTGGTCTACACTACGTAGTATTTTTTTGAATGCGGTTTCACCGCAGATTAGATTTTTGACATAATGGTTTCATCATTAGTTAACGTGCTTTTTGAAAACGGTTTTACCGTATTTAACGTGTAAAATTCTTTTAACAGTGGTTTCACCACTATCGTAGATCCTTCCTTTTGAATGGTTTTTAACCATAATTAATGAAGTCATTTTTGAAAGCGGTTTTACCGCTATTTAAATCGTTATCTCTTTTTTTGGTGGCCATTACCACACGTAAAGTCCGAAAATAGTTTGGCGTAGAGATACGACGTTCTCTGGCGCGGATTAATCGATAGTTTTCGAGAAACTACGCCGTCGTTCATCGTTTATTTCATTTGTTAATCGCGTTCATGATCATTATGTTATTTTCTGCATTAATCGTTTGTAAATAGTAAATTTCTTGTTTTATTAATAAATACGTTAAATCTGTAATTTGTAATGTTAAATTTATTAAAAACGAACCCTGGCACGACGAGCTATAAAAATATTCTAATAACAATCATTACACGATTATCAGAATAATGATTTCTTTTACGTCGTCATTTGTTAATGTTGTTTTGTAATTCAAAAAAACGCACGATTTATCTTTTATTTTGTCAATTTCCACGTTATGTTCGATAATTATCTTTCGGTATTTGTCTACCGTTAAAATGTTAATCGAATATATTTATGTTTATATTTTTGTATTCTTTGCGTTGTGCATTTGCGAGAGTACCTTTTCGAACCGAACGAAGGCTAGTTTCGATGTTTTCATCTTTTGTTCAACTATTGTTTTGTTTAGTATTGTAATGTTAAAAACCAAATATTTTATTATTAAATATGTCATTTAAACAAATCTGTTTTAGAGTTGTATTTTTCGTTAAATTTCCAACCCAGGTACGACGAGCATCCATAATTGCAAATCTATTTCTTACAACATTCATTACAATATTTAAAGACATTTTTCCATAGTTATATTTGTTAATTTATGTAATTGTTATATATATTGCCAAATAATTAAATTTTATTTGTTTAAATAATTTATTGTTCATAATTTATAACTTTTTTAAATACACATAGACAGTAGCACAATTTTATAAATTTGTTACTTCCTCTTAGTAGTTATTAATTTAAAGGTTATAAATAAAATAAAATATAGAATTAAATTTGCAACAACTATTATGTTAAATTGTTTAAACAAATAATTGTTTCTATTTATTAACATTTTTCATAATTTTCCTAGAAAAATGCAGTGTTTTTTTCTATTTTTGCAATTTATCAAACAAATTATAAAGTTATAATAGTTATTAATTAACTTTTTTTGTAGTACACCTAGAAAGATGCAGTTTTTTCTTAATTTTGTAATTTATATCAAGTAGAATAATATAAACTTGATAAATTGTAAAATAAGGAAAAAGCTGCATCTTTCTAGGTGCACTACAAAAAAAGTTAAT